CCTTTTTTGGATAAATACTTAATTCATTTTTTTGTTCTATTTCATTCTCATTCTTTTAATGGTTAGCTTTCAGCCTCTTGTGTCTCCCTTCATCTAAGATGAAGCCAGAGCTTTAGCCATTACATGTGAGAGGAGAGTGCTGGAAAACTTAGAACAGATTTGTGTCAATACTGAGTATTTATCTTTTTTTTTTTTTTTTTTTTTTTTTTTAAATAGATGCTGATAGGAAGTAAATTATACTTCCTTTGATCCAAGAAAAAACCTTAATGCTTGAGTTAAGTGCATTTACTTTCTGCACACGTGGAAAGTAAATAATGGCCTAAAAAGTGAATACTGTCATGCAGATTGAATCTATTACTAAAGTGCTAGCGTTAGTATAGCTGTAGGAGGTGGGATGAAAGTTACATTTTAGTTCTTTCTTAAAGTTGTTCATCCTGCATCTTGCTTGGAGGGAAAAATGAATTCTCTCTCAATTTTTTTTTTTTTTGCTGTAGCTAATTTTTATTGCTGTTCTTTAAACAGTTTGTATTTTATTTTTTCTAGGTAGAATTCTATTATTCAATTAATTCAGTTGAATTTCATTTTGCATGGCAAATGAACTGCAGTAACTGGTTTTTATTTGTACAGCATCTAGCACTGTAGCATCTACTGTTGCTGTCCTTGGGGACCATAAAAACACATAGGGGCTATGGCCCTTATGTTTTCAAAACACTTCACAAAGTAATTAATCACAGTGTCTCTTCTCTATCTCTTTTTATGGATATGGAAGTAATGGCAGAAATGTTATGTTGTCTGATGCAAAGCTGGAGCCAAAATGTGGATATTCTGGATCCTGGAAGAGAGAAGATTACTCACAAAGCTGAGATACCAGTGTGAGACAAGGGGTGCACTGACAGGAGATCATGTCTTGCAGAAAACAAGGAGATACAAAAGAAAATCTGTGTAAACGTGTGCAGTATCTAGTGAGTAGGTCTGATTAATGGCAAATTATACATGGAAGTTTAGTTTTGCGATATTTCATGCGTAAACCTCTGTGGCCTTCTCTTTGAATGTAAAAGATGGGTCCTGCTTTCCTCCAGGCCTGAGGCGGATCTGTTTTTCTGTTGTGTTTGAGGTGCAGTTCCACTCTGCAAAGATTGCATAGGAAGAAAGGAAGGGAGATTGGTTGTATTTATTATTTTAAGTGTTTTTGACATTCAGGTTTGCTTAATCAGTGAATACAGAGTTTGTTCTTCTGGCTCTCAGTGCTTTGAGCTTGCTCTTTGTCACAGATCCTTCCATTTTCATGCATCAGCCATCACTAGCAGTGAAAGTAAAACTGCCAGTGTATTAAATATTTGTCAACAACAATATGCAGGTATCAGCAGCAGAATCTGCATTTAGTGTCATTCAGTTACTCTGAACAATTTGAAGTAAAAGTTTGTGTGGAATTCAGCATTTTCTGCCATATTTGAGTAAGTGCTGCATAATTAAGTGCATACTGTGCACAAGTTGTCTCTGGAACAAAATATAATAAAAATGTACTCTTTTTCTACCCTGGATATACAACAGATTTCTCAGCTTCTGCATACCCCCAGGGGAAGGGATCTGTTGGATAGAGTACTAATAGGTGGAACTGTGTCTGAGTAAATCAGGCCCAGGTGGGACTTTGTAGGTTACTACTTAATTTTGTCCTTTCCCTGTCAGCCACACAGAAGTTCCTGGTGGTGATCATCCCTTAGGGCAGAGCACCTCGAGGTGCCTGTTTGGGACCTGTAGTGCAATTGCTAGCTCTTTATGCACTGAGGTACATCTACGTCCTTTGAACAGAAGAAGCTCTGAGTGTCTCTGAATTTGCCTTTACAAAGGTTGTAGGAATAGCAGAGCTGAGAGGGTGGGACACTCATCAAGAGGAGTAAATTGAGTTCAGGCTCTTTTGCGTGACATCTTGAAGCCATCTATATGATAAAAGCATAAAAATAATCTGCACTGATAAGAGCATTAGAATGGACAGTAATCTAAAACTACAGTTTTATTTTCGAAAGTGGTAATCTGAAAATGTCAATTTTGAATCCAGCAGATCTATTCCTGTGAGTATTAAAATATTACTTCCTAAATTTAGTGACAGAAAGTACTGTTTTAAAGTATTGGAGAATTATCTGATTTTTTCCTACTGTATCATCTATGAGGCAGTCTATTAAGTTTCCATTGTTTATAGCCATTTGAAATTCTGTCACTTAGAAATTTTTAAGAATGTTAAATGAATAATTATTTCCCTGGGCAGTCCTTCCTCTTGATATCGATCCATTTAGAATGGACAAATCCTTTCCTCTGAGGAAATGAAATAGAAAATACTGTTAATGCTGAGATAAAAATAAACAATTTTTTTAGCTGTTTCTGACTTTTAGAATCTTATTGGCAATGCAGTCAGGTGAAATATTGTGATTAATTTGAATATTAAATGCATCCTTTCAACACAACCAAGTAAAGTATTTATTTTCTTTAAATAAGCAAGTTCTTTTTGTACAGAAAACTGAATTCTCTCTAACTCTGGTCAGAATTTGGTAGAATCACTTTCTCCCAAATGATGCTTTTCTTTCACATTTTAAATGTTTTTACAAAATTTCTTTTTGTGAATTTCACAAGGAAAATTATGACAAGAGTACTTTCAAAGCAGTTTTCCTTAAATATTTTAAATAATTTCAAATATTATATTTTGCATTCCCATTTTTCATATCCCATTTCTTAAACTCCCCTTCTGTGATATTTTTTTTTTTTTGTCCCCAAGTATTTCTAACCCTTGACCTCCCCCCCACCCCCCCCAACCCCATTAGGAACTCCAAATTCCAAACTTTTAAGTCCTTCCCGAATCATTGCTATTTTTGTGCTTGGTAGGACTCTCACTGACAAACAGCATTTTTTTTTCTTTTCTTTAAAAAAAAAGAAATAAAATCCCAGTGATGAGTTTTAATTTTAAGAACAAGTTTTGCACCACTATTTTTGAGCAAAAATAAAACTGGTATTTAGAACATTGGGATGGAAAATTTTCCTGCCCTTGCCTGAGACTTGTAAGCACTGCATGATGAAAAAGCTTGGCTTTGAGACTGAAGCTGTTACTGGAGACTTCTCCAAATGTAAAACATTATTGTTTTGCTGTTAAAGCTGGTAAAGAGGAAAGGGAGAAATAGGCATTCATCCTGAGGAAAAAAGGCCAGAAAACTGTGTTGTAGTGTCAGAATGTGGACATTCAGAATGTAGAGACTGGATGTGCTTGTCACTCAGGGACTTGCATATCCAGTTCTAAAATATGACTGTCTTGTTACAGTTTTCTGTGTTTCCTCTTTGTGTTTTCCCCTTTTTCCTCTCCATACTGAGTGTTCAGAAGTACCTGCTTTCCCTCCCCTGGAAATGAAGGCCTTATGACTTCTGTCATATTCTCTGAAGGGGCATTAAGGCTTTGGTCCATTGTTTACAAAACAAAGCTGGGTATGACATGGATGGGAAATGGAAATTAACTTTTACTTTGTGAAAGAATTTTTGCATCAGTGACTTGAAAAGTTGGCGTAGATAATAATGAAAATCACTTGGTCTCTTCCACATCTCTGCAAATACCTCTGATTTAATGGAAGGTTGCTTTTTTCTCTTTTTGTTTTTTGTTTTTACTCCCCCCCCCCGGTTGTGTTAGATCTTGTCCAAATACTTAATAGAAACTGATAGTGTGTTCCCAGGTAACAAATTACATCTGTCTCTGAAAATGAGTCAATGTAATAATGACAAATTCATGAAATAAAGGGGAAATACATTGCTGCAGTCCTGGGGAACATGAGTCAATATGCTTTATGCAATTATTTAATAAAACATCTCTTCTAGTGCATTGAACCAGCCTAAGATACTGAAGCAGTTGTATTCATGCAGGAATAAACAAACTTCCAGTAATAGCTGGTGACCAGAAGTATATAATTATGCATTTCCAGAAATACTCATTAAACCAGTCTGCTTAAATTTTAATCAGACTTGTACATATGAAACAGTCTTGATAAGAGACAGAAAAAAAAAAAAAAAAGATTTTTTTATAAAAGGCTATTCAGATCTTCTAGTGCCCCAAATGGCTTTGAATTTTTTAATGTAACTTCTTGTGCAAGGAATTGCAAATCTGTCTAAAAGTTAACAATACAAAATCCTACATGCTGGTTTAATTCTGTTTTATGGGAGCCATATTAGTATGAGCACAGAAATACTACATTGATAACAAAGCTGTCATAAAAAAGAATATGATGTGAGGTTTAGACAGTGAGATATTTGAAACAGTTTTGTGTAGTCCAGGTGAGAAATGTCAGAGGACTGATTGTAAGGGCATGAATTCTTATATGAAAGTACAGTCATAGGAAATACACTGTTACACTGAAAATTTATAATTAACCAGGTACTTCCAGTATGTTCTGACCTTCCTTATTTATCTTCCCAGTTTGTCTGAGCTAAATACTGCAAACTGTGTTATATCTGAGACATGAGAGGACGTGTGTTGCCCAGCATCACAAGGAAGTCAGAAATAGCCATAAAAGGTTCATGTCTCTAAACACTGGAGTGAATTCAATAGGTGTCTGGTTATGTTCCTCTCAACGTTAGATTTGAACAGTTTAATGGTCAGTAACCTCCATGTTTATTTTCACTCAGCCTAAAGTAGCATCAGTATGTGCAGGGACGTTCTACTTGCACAACTAGATGTGCAATAAATAGCCTGTCATTTGAAGCCTTTACAAACATGTTTGTAGACCTATTGAAGTAATCTGAAAGGGGAGTTCAGAGAGCAACTCACAAAATGTTAGTGGATGAAGACAAGAGTGCATATATCCATCCCTGAAAAGGGTCACTAACCTTGTCAGGTTTCGCAGTTTCTCGTTTCAGGTGTTTTCTGATGACCATCTATTTGTTATGGATCACCTTGCGTCTTTGGAAACCGCAGTTATGAATATTGTTGCTTTATATTAAATTCTAATGGTCACTGTGCTTTATCCTTCTAGGGCATCAGTAGCCTCTTCAGCTCACTTAAAGTGGTCAGGCTACTTCGGCTGGGTCGTGTGGCTCGGAAGTTGGACCACTACATTGAATACGGAGCAGCAGTCTTGGTTCTGCTGGTGTGCGTGTTTGGTCTTGCAGCACACTGGTTGGCCTGCATTTGGTACAGCATAGGAGACTATGAAGTTATCAATGAGGATACAAACACAATCCGAACTGAGAGCTGGCTCTATCAGCTGGGGATGTCCATAGGAACACCTTACCGCTTTAACGCATCAGGCTTTGGAAAATGGGAAGGTGGACCAAGCAAAGATTCAGTGTACATCTCCTCGTTGTATTTTACGATGACTAGCCTCACCAGTGTTGGATTTGGTAACATCGCTCCAACTACAGATGGGGAGAAGATCTTTGCTGTTGCTATGATGATGATTGGCTGTAAGTATTAGAGATTCTCTCTCTCACACACACAATGCCAAGTAGCTGTGTGTAATGAATACTGGCATCATAAGAACATCTGGAATTGTGTCAAATATTATGCAGCTTAACTATATAGCTTAACTATATTGCCATTAAAAATATTTTATTCCACACTTTCTTACCAATTAGTTTTAAAATCACAAGTGGGAGTATTGCTGTGACTAGCAAAAACTCAGTAATTTTGGAAGCAATATTCTGTCAATATCCTTTCAATGTTCTCTTGTAAGTAAACCGTGTAAAGCCTGAAGTATTAAAAATTAAAGCACCAGAGTGGGTGCAGACAACCTCTGTGCCTCCATTTGGTATGTGGCAAAATCTTTGTATGTCTGGGATCTGTAAATATTGGACAGATGAGTCGGTGAGTGGGAGGAGGTCCAAGAGCATCTCGTAAGGGAGAGAGAACAGTAGCTCTCTAGAGGCCACAAGCTCTGCTGTGGGCTGAGTGTACAGTCAGATCCTAAAGTAACCAGATGATACTGGCCTTGGGCACTTCTGGCTCGCATTTACTTGTTGGAAGAGATTCCTGTTGCCAGGCTGTCCAGCTTTTGGCCATGTTGTGTCACTTCAACGCAGGATCTGCACTCAAAAGTGCCTTAAGAGCTACTTGGAGAACCATATGGTGGCCACCAATAAACTTAAATATTTTTTTTCTAGATAAGGGTGGAATTTGAACCAAAATAAAGAAAAAAATTTCTACTTTATACATGGGAGAGCATATCATTACATGCAGAAAGAGAGAAGCTTCTGTACAGTAATATTACATCTAGAGAAGAAAAAAGTCAATCCTTGCTAAGGAGAAAATTAAAACCAAATATATAATGAAACTCAATTAGCAGCACAGTGTCAGTTATGATAGAAATGTGAAGCTTTGATTCTGATGTGTCATTTTACAGCAACACTGAAGTCACATACTGAGATTATGTGTGCAGGGCTAAGCAGGCTGAAAGTTAGTGAGATGTATGAAGACAAGCATTCTTGATCGCACAGGGATTGGGATATTTCAGTTTATTTATTTTATAAAAATTCTTAGTTTTGTTCTTCTAGCTTTTTCTACTGCTAAGAGTCCCATCAGCCTAATAAAACAGCCTTGTAGCAGAAGGGAAATTTATATAAAACTTGGAGACAATTACATGGTTTCCTCGTGAGAAAGTACATTAGGCAATGTAGCAGTGTAGTACAAAACAGGCTTCCAAACATATTTCCTACTGAAGGTACCTGTTTAACAGGAAATATCCTGACCTTTGGCTTATTGTTCATTGGGTTATGCTTATGATACTAGCTAGACAAGATCAGCTAGTATTATTCAGTATTATTATTTAATACTATGAATACTGAATGAACATAATCTTAATAAAATCAAGAATGTACATGGGGATGTTTTCAAGTTGTATCTGTTCCAAACTCCTCATATGAAAATGTGATGGAAAGAGACTGAATTTATGCAAGATTAATGGTGATGGGTATCTGCTCTGAATTCTAAAATGAACTTTAATCTCAGCAAGTTGTAAAAAATAATGTTCTGGCAATTTTAAATCTCCTGACTGCAATCACATTTGAAGGAAACATTTTTGTTTGTATTTGGACTTCTAGAACCTTACATTTCTAACCCTATAACCATGTATTTGAGCACCTTTATCCTGTGAACAACTCCTTGGAAACCATTAGGACTATTCGCAATATGTGTTTGCAGGAATGGCAACTAAATAATCCAATCTTTGAGTTTACCTCTCTGGTATTTGTAAGGTCTTGATTGCTTTTAACATGCTGAAGTTTTGAGCTGTGGTCATTCCTCAGGATGGGAAGAACAAAACTGATTTGTTTAGTTTGCAGCTATTTAGAACTTAATTGTTGACAGACGTTCTTCCACCATAAAGTTTTATGTTAAAATAACACTATTTACCTGTAGAATTAAGTTCTGAAACATTGATCTGAGATTGAACTAGGACTATTTTATAAGAATTTTGTTTGACCTGTTTGGAACCTGAAAAGTACATAGCAAATATATGGGGGATGGATGTGAGGGAGAGAAAAGACATTTCCTGGCTAAAGCTTTTGTCTGTCACTTATAAAACTTTGTATTTGTCCCTGGCCAAGTAACTTGTTTGTTATGAGCTGAGCTACTCACTTGTATCACAGTTGGTGGCTACATGTTCCTGTTATGGTTCTCATTTGCCAATGTCAGATCACATAGATTTGTACACAGGATGGGTAGGGGCTGTGGATGTCCAAAGCACCAGAAATAAGCAATTTCAAATGAGTTCTGCTAATGTGTTATTGCTCACCATTAACACTGCATTTGTTTTAGCACCTATCTAGTGATGTATTTTCAAAAGCTGCAGGTATCTTTCAGTAGCACAATGAATGCCATTTTCTTTCCATGAAGTATGCAGAGCACCTTACTGACTATCTAAAACTTCAGTTGAAGTTAGGTGGGATTTGCCGAGTCCAGCCTCCAACATATCACTCCATTAACTTCTTCCCTGCTAGAGGATAAGTCTTTAAGAACTATGTGAATTTATCTTGGTTTTGAAGTGGCTAGGTATAGTTTGGGCAAAAATACATACCTGTATATTTAAATAATCCAGTGAAATAAGTAAAGTCATTTTACAACCTTTTCTATATGAAATGGAAACAACACTGTCCCTGTCAACTGTTATCAGTTTTGTTTAGTTAAATGAGACAATATGTTAAAAAGATTGGATTTGAGTTTCCAAAACTGCCACTATAGTGTCATTAAAAAAAAAAAAAAAAAAAAAAAAAAAGATATTTGGGGACAAATGTATAACAGCCAGCATTAATATTTCAAATTGATTCCAGAAAAATTTTACTTTAAATAGTCTGGAAATTTTTAATAGAAGGGTAATTTTTTTCCCCTGGGGCCAATTAACTTCTTGTGAATAAATAGTAAAACTTCCATTAGCCTGATGGGGACAGATTTATATGAGTAGAAGGAAAATGATAACATTTCTTTCTCTTTGTGTTTTTTATCCCCTGCTCTTCTTGAATAGCAGTAAGTGCTGTGTCAAAAAACTAGTGGTTTGTTAAACAGTACTGTGGCCATCCAAGCCCAAGGTCACAACTTTATTAGCAAGATCAACTTTGAAGTTTTGATCTTCTCTTTATTTGTAAAAGAAACTAAATTTTCTTGAAACAGAGATGGTGGTCAACATGTGTGAAAATGTCTGCGCCCCCCCCTTCCATGCTTGGGCTGTAGGTGTAGTGACCACAGAGAAAGTTAGGGTGCAGGTCCCACTTGGGTGCACGGCAAGTGCTTGCCTCCCACTGGTGGCTGACTGGGAAACTGCGAGTGTGGTGTTTGCTCATTCCTGGGTCCAGCTTAGAGTCCTAGCTTTGCCTTTCACCCTGCCACTGGGTTTCAGCATCAATGGTCTTGACTTCAGTTTGCTCTATGAGCTGTGCAGCCATGGTTTGGTAGGGACACTCCAGAACTGCTTCCCTGGAGTGCAGATATTGGTATCAAGTGGAGGGAAAGCAAGAATTTACTTTTAGAAGTGTGAGTTCTGCCTAATCAGTGAACTTAAAAATAAATAAATTGTATATATACATGCATACATACATAGCATATATGTATACATCGAGAGTGTACATATATATTACAATGTTTAAAAGAAGAAAAAGAGAGCATGTTTTTTTTCTCATGTTTGATAGTTTAGAAATATTTTTAATAGAATGAATTTGATTTTGCAAAATTCTTGTATCTCTAGGGAAGGCTGGACATGGTGTGTGCTGCCCTGAGATGCATTGCTAGGTGCAGTTTTGTAGACTTTCTGGTCCTTGTTTCTAGCAAACTTAGTTTTTAGTTTTGGTTTGGTTTACTTGATTTACTGGCTGAGTATCTTCAATATTTTCTGGGGAGGAAAGTTGTGAATGGCAGCAACACTTTTTTCTTTGGTCTTGGAGTGTTGTGTGTTGTCTGTTGAACCTCTGTTTCAGATTCGGAGTTACTGTGTAAAAAAGTGATTTTAAGATGTGTGTTGCTGGCAAACTGATTGAAGGGCTTGTGGTACAGGACTATGGTAACATCCAAAGAGGATGTTTGTGTCAGAAGGGCTCAGGATATTACAGGTATTTGAAAGCATAAGCAGTTTATAACTAGTGTCCTTCCATGTGTGTTTAGTGTGCTTATGCACAGAGTGATGGAATTAATGTTTTGTAATTATGTTCCGTCTTCTGTAAAACAAAATTTGATTTTCTCTGCTGCTCAGCCGCTGATATATCCCCTTCTGCTCACTACTTACTCCCTCTGTAAAGCTGATCCTCTGGCAAAAATACATGTGTGTTACATTAACTCATTGTAGACCACTAATAGTAGTACTTTCCTATAATGTCAGGTAGCTGCTTAAAAAAGTAGGTAAGACCACTTCAATTTTCCTTTTTAATCAATCTTTCTTTATGGTAAATAATAAATCTAGGTAACTTTAAATTAAAAATTTAGGGATATGTTAGTGAAGCTGTCCTGAGCCAGTGGGAATTTTGGCTGAGCTGAGTGCAAATGTTCTCCTAGTAAAAAGTTTAAGGTATATGAACTTGTAGAAGGAAGAGTGCAGTGCAGAGATGCTGGGAAGGGATGATTGAGGTGAATCAGCAGTGTGTGGGTATTGATCCTTTGGGGCTGGCTGGGTTGGTTGGCTTTACACTTGGGGGAAAGTGCAAGAAGGCATGGCTTGGTCTCAGCAGCCCTGGTCTCTGCTTCGGGGCCACCTTGCCCAGGCAGGTGTTCTTGTGTTCTTGTGCTCTCAAATGCTATGAAAAAACGCGCTGTCCTACTGACCTCATTGTGACTGCAGTTTTCAGGGAGAAAGTGATTTACTGTTGGTTATTTTGACATGGGTAGTTGCAACCCCTAATTAGATTTGTGAGGCGCTGCAGCATACTCATTGTGTGTCCCTGGGGATATATGGTCCATTGGTCAGCTCCACCAAAGGGGGACGGTAGTA